GGGCCTCATCTACATCCGTCACTAGTGATATGCATAAGTGTAGAATATGTTTGTTGAATATTAAGTAAAATATATTAATTTTTAATTAATTATATACCTAATAGATGAAGTGTTGCATCGGTCGTGCTTTACAGTTTTTTAACTTTATATGTAATATTAGAATTTAGATAGATAATTATTTATTTTTAAAAGAATAATATCATATTATCATATTCAAAATGAGTAAAAATATGAATATTTGAGAGAAAGATTGAGAAATAAATTAATATGGTTGATTTAGTGAAGATATATAACAGAAAAAAATGAAAAAAAAAAAAAAGTATCAAGGTCACTATGGAAGACAAAAGTTATGGAATGAAAAAATATGCAATATATTATTGAAATAACCATGCCTAATTAACATTAACATGTCACCCAAGTATAATTATGTATCAATCTAAAGCATAGAGTTATGGCAAATAGAATCTAGAACCACACGAGTCTGTCACTTACACTCAACAATTCGAGAATTATATATAGGGAGATTTTAAACTTTATGAAGAATAATAATATTTTTTATTATATTGATTATCACGTTTTTTTTTTCCAAGATTATAATAATGTTTGATTACTATGCAGTCTTTATGTAAGTTGAGACATAAACTTTTTAAAATATTTATTTATATTAATTTGATGTTCATGCTTAGTTGTACATACTGAACCAAATCAGAAAGTTCTCGATACGGATATTTCGAAAAGGAGCCTTTCTATTTCAGCTACTTCGGGGACATCTTCACCTCAATTACATCTTTAGAAGCCAAGTGAAGTCATAGAACCTAACGAACTGCCCTTCTCTTCGGTCGAAGGTCGAGGCTCACTTTGCTCTCCTCTCTAAGACCGATTAGTCGTATTCAATCTATTCACCCTCAGGATAGATAGTTCTATACAACTACCTCTGTTAAGTGAATTTCATTTTGCCATCAAGCTGACGTGAACCTGGCCAGATTGACATGTTAACCACTGAGAAATTTAGTGAAATCCCGTTGAAAAACAAAAGAATAAGAGAACGTTGAACGTCCCTTTATAGTTTTTCCCAAATAAATAATTATTTTATGGTATGTTAATACTCATAAATTTCTATTACTTTATAGTATAATTTAGAGTTTTATTTGATATTTTTTAGTTTAGTTTGGTAAATAAATTCAAGTTTTATTTATAAGGATAAATATTATTATTTCGTATTGTTTGTACCGTTTTTGTCGTGATTTTTCTTATTGTTCTGTCGTTATTTTTGTATCATTTCATATTGTTTATTTCATTATTCATGCGATTAATAGTGTATTGAGTGTTTTTCTTTTGTTCGTGTCGTATATAGATTATTTCGATTATTTTTCTCTATTTCCTCTATTTTGCGCGTTGATGGTGTGTTGGTCCAAAAATCCGACGGGGAATCATTCGAATAATATTTTGAGCCGATGACTTGTGGTTGATAGAGAAATTTGTCACCTACGCATGAGAAAAAACGAAATTCAATTTCGGCTTCAAACGAAGTCGTACGAACCAAAAACGTAAAGTCTAGTAAACTACCGACCCTTTAATGGTTGAAAATTCCATAAAATTTGTATTCTGGGCAAAAGTGTGGTTTGCAAGCATCATTGAATAGAGGAGTTCGTTAGCTACGCGTAGAAAAAAAACAGAAGTCAATTCTGAGTTTGAACGAGCCCAAACGAGCTCAAAACGTGAAGCCATGCATGCTGTCGCGCCCGCATCGCGGTGCGACGAACTCGTGACTGACCTTCAGAGTACCTGCTAACAGCTCCGCGGCGTGAAGACCCTCCGCGGCGCGACGAGCACATCCTCCACGTCATAAAGACCCTCCATGGTGCGACAAACACCTTCTCCACGACGCGAGGATCCTCCACGGCGCGCCCAAGACCTTTCCACACCATTCCTTCACGCCGGGAAGATATAATCACGCCGTGAAGCTCTTCTCCAATCACCATCTCTCACGCCGCGAGGAGAAGGACACGCCGCGACAGCTCCTGTATCCGCGCCGTGAGTGGCGTCGTGACAAGCTCCCGCGCCGCTGCTGTTTTCCTGTCCCCGCCGTGCTCTGTTTCTCTTCCACGCCGCTACTGAAGCTCTTCCACATCGTGCTGTTCTTCATTCTTTCCCACCGCGACGTCCTGTTCCTCCATGCAGAAGCTTCCGTTCACGCAGTGGACAGCTCTCCAGTCGCGCCGTGCAGACCATAAACGCCGCGACTGTCTTCTCTCCACGCCGCAGGGACATGTCACGTTCCGGCCATTCTGTTTCTCCTCGTCGCTGTCATATTTTTCAGTCGTGTCTGGTGTTTCTCCGTGCCGTGATCATCGCCGCTCGACTATGTGCAAAAGTTCATTATTGCGCCGGAAAGTCGCACACCAGTTGCAGCTGTGTTTTTTTAATTTATTTTATTATTTTTTTATTATTATTTTATATTTTTATTTATGCCATGAAATGATCTTTTCTTGTGCCGTGTCTCGATGAAGATACTATCCGGATTTTCTGCAAAAGATCGTATTAGTGCGTCAGAAGATATGGGGATGAGAATATAATATTCCACTCGATAGATAAAGTGGGTCCGTGATTGCTATATATTTTCGATATATTTCTTTTGACGGACACACTTCATTATTCTCCCAACTGTGGGAAAGGAGCTTGGCTCCTTCTTTTTCTGTTCTTCAGAGCTTTCTTTTCTTATTTTTTTTCTTTTATTTTTATGTATTTTGTTGTGTAATTTGGACGCCGGTTGGAGACACGAGCTTGACATTTTTCGGCGATTTTTTTTTCGGTAATTTTTCTGTTATTTATTTT